CAAATTGTATTAGTTCCAGTGTCTCGTGAAAGGTAGAACTTGTGAGTGATGAAATTGGATAGTTAGTTGAATAGATTTCTAAACTAAGTGTAGAATTAGTAACTTAATTCCTCCTGATAGCTTGTAGTAAAATGCAAGGAGAAGGAAATAACCTGAATACAGAATTTTAAGCAAGAAGGAACTAGAACTTAAATATTTAGAAAATTCTCAGCCTAACTATATTGCAAAAAAATGAGAAAACATGTTCAGAAAAGAGCATCAAGGATATGCTGGAGAGACCATTTGTTAAGGAGATTAGTATGGATGTGAATCACAGACTTACCAGCTACCCCAGTAGAAAAAATGCCAGTTTGAACTGAAGGGGAAGGATCTGGGAAGGAATGAAGGAAGGTCATCATATGGGGCAGCACAGATGGGACAACAGGGCTATTTGGCTGAAAACATGCTCTATTCTTCAAGATAAGGGAAGAATGACCCTGAAGGCAATTCAGAGATCATCCTGGCTGTTGCTTTGATTTCAAAGGGGAAGGGTGGTCACCCAGCTTTCAGCAGGCCAGCCAACCTCTGCCCAAATGACTACTATCCAGCAGAACCCTGGGGGCAGGCCCCTGGCAGAGCTTTGGGTGAAGGGCCACCACCCCAGTGTGTCTGGAAAGTGGACCTAGAAGGCAGAGCATCAGGCCAAAGATTATTCTGAAGATGTAAGGTTTAATGCTGTTTGCCCTGTTAGGTTTCAGACTTACTTGGGACACTTTACTCCTTTCTTTTTTCCTATTTCACCCTTTTGAAATGGGAATGACTATTCTATGCCTGTTCCACCAGTGTATTTTGGAAGCAAATTACTTGTTTTGTTTCACACATTCACAGCTGGAGAGAAATTTTGTCTCCAGATTAATCACACCTTGAGTCTCACCTATAACTTACTTGGATGGTATTTAAATAATACTTCAAACTTTAGACTTGAGAATTGATGCCAAAATAAGTTAAGACTTTTAGCGTTGTTGGGATGGAATAATTACATTTTGGATGTGAGAAGGACATAAATTTGGGGGGCGAGGGGTGGAATGTAAAGGACTCATTGTTGTTTCCCAAAAAGGAAGCATATGTTGAACTCTAATTCCCAATGTGATGGTGTTTGGGGGTGGGGCCTTTGGAAGCTAATTAGTTCATAAGGGTGAATCCCTCATGAATGAGATTGGTGCCCTTATAAGAACAGGAGGCCAGGCACAGTAGCTCACACCTGTAATCCCAGCACTTTGGGAGGTGGGAGGACTGCTTGAGCCCAGGGTCAGCCTGGGAAACATGGCAAAACCCCATCTTCACAAAAAATGCAAAAATTAGCCAGGCATGGTGGTTCACTCCTATAGTTCCAGCTACTCAGGAGGCTGAGGTGGGAGGATGGCTTGAACCTGGGAGGTGAAGTTTGCAGCAAGCTGAGATCACACCACTCCACTACAGCCTGCACAACAGTGTAAGACCCTATCAAAAAAAGGAGTAAGAGGAAGAAGAGGAAGAGGAAGAGGAAGAGGAGGAGGAAAAAGGAGGAGGAGAAGAAAAAGAAGAAAGAAAAAGGAAGAACGAAAGAAGAAAGAAAGAAAGAAAGAAAGAAAGAAAGAAAGAAAGAAA